CTACTGTGATAGATGAGGATAATTATGGTGATTTTAATGAGGTTTGTAAAGTTATCTCTGGAAACCGTTTAAGAAATTGGCCTGCACACCCCAGAAAATTCCAAGTGTCTCAACTCACTGCTTTTTACTCTGTCCTGTTTAGACTCACAGTGACTAATTGGATTCCATCCAAAAATGTCTCTGTGGTAACTAAGCCTCATGTTGTACTCATGTACAAATTGGGGATGGGTTTACCAGTGGATTTTGGCAAACTGTTCTTTGATACTATTGGTCATCTTGCCCAGAAAATTTCACCCTCCACTCACCTCCCCTATCCTTCTCTCATCTATTCCATCTTACTCTCTCAACACTTGGGCCAAGATGACTCAGAATATCTTCACACTCCACAAGGCATGATCACTGTTTCTCAAAATTTTCTAAGAGCTCCTCATGTCCAAGATCTTCCCTGGAATGGAGATAATTTTCTCTCAAGTGAATCAGATCAAAAATATAATCCTGGTACTGAAGGTGCTGCTCCTCATGTTGACAACACTTCTAACCTTCTTGTATCTGTTCCTAGAAATCTTCTATTGCAGCAGCTTACTCATTCTCTAGCTCAGATTACCTATCATCAGTCCATGGTGGAGCTGATTCAGAAAGCTCTTTCTGATCAAAAAGGGGGAGAAAAAGATCATGAAGCTGAAGCAGGAACATCTCACCCTTTGGATGCTAGAGGCAGAGAGCAAGCAGTCAATGAAGAGGAAGCAAAGAAAGAGGGTGAAGCTCAAGAAGAAAGCAGTGGATCTAGTGATGGAGGAGCAGCAGCTGCTGATACTGAGGAGACCTTGGAGACTCTGGATATTTTACTTTAGATTGTTTTCATAAACAATATTCTATTTTTGTTTGTGTTTTGTTTATTTTCCCTCTGAACTTTTGTTTAGGACTGCACTTTGGTTATTTCTTTTGTTGGACTATCTTGCTGAATTTGGTTTTAATTTATTTTTTCTATGTGTTTCAAATGGTATCAAATTCAGGGGGAGTTCAAGCAATATCTCAGGGGGAGTCTTTGACTACGATTTAGTTTTGATCAGAAAGTTAAAAAGGGGGAGTTTGAAACACGTGAATTAATTTCACAATGTGTTTTTAACTTTTCTTAAATTCTAAACTAAATCTTAGTTAGTGGGCTAAGTAGGGTTAAGTAGTGCTTAGTGGATTTAATTATGGAATTTATCTTAACTTCTTATCTAACCCACTAACCCATTATCTTGAGTGCTCTTGTGGTTGGTTTTCTTGCAGATCATGGGCTGAGAAGTGGAAGCTTGGCAAGTCTATAAATACCAAACTCAAGACTCAAGATTTGTACAGATTTCGAGGAAACAAAAATAGAGCTGAAGTTTTAATCTCGAGAATTTTAGTGTGTTTTCTAGGATCTGTTGTACGTACTCTTTATGAGTACATTCTTTGAAATCTAGAATTTTTAATATTTTTCTTTTAGTATCTAGATTTGGTTGTAAGAGTGATCTTGAAAAAGATTCATTCATAAGGAAGAAGTTTTCGCACTCTTCTGTTTGTATTCTTAGAATACTGTTTTTAATATATTTTTCTGTCCTGTAAAGGGCAAGTTCACAAGTCTTTACTTGTGAACATTTTTAATTCTGAGTATTGTCTTTTAATCTTTATATTTCCGCTGCATGTTGTCTCAAGTGTCATAACATTTCAGATAACATCTCTGTATAATACTTATACGAATTCGGGACCATAAATTATTTCACAACCCACAATCTTTGTATAGCAGTCCCTAGTAGAGCATGAGAAAAAAAACTCATGAAAGAATGAAATAATAGTGTGAAAGGGCATTTGTAATCGCTTGGGAAAAACCCGATGTGGTCATTACATATTATAAATAACAGAATGATATGTCGAGCTTCATATCACCAAGAATGCTGGATCAGCAACAATCTCATGCAGTTTTATATTAGATAATTAGGTTAACAATCATATACCTTTCATCGTCATTCAGTTATATGGAAATCGACGAGTCTCTCAGGAAACATTGACCATCCTTCTCTCTTTTTTCAGTGCACGAGCTCTTTTTTTCATTGTGTTCAATAACAAATTTACCCAAAGAAAACGAGCTACAAAATCAAATACATATAACCAATTGAATTAAATAAAAATGTAAAGCAATAACAATCCAACTGGATGATAAATTATAAAGTTCTTTCGATGATCTGAATAAAATAAAACTATATATAGACAACCTAAAAAAATGTGTTTAAACTTAAAGCTTGTTCTGCTGAAGTATGTAAAACAAGTACCACTCGTTTGCCTTAATTTTTTTATTCAAACATTGTGTGTTCTTAAATTATCTTGTTTAGTGCATAAAACAGGAAATCAATATACGAAAATAGGAAAAATACCCAACCGGTTTGTGGCGCTATATTGTCTTTCGATGACATGAAGGAGGGTGTCATTAGTCCTCTATTATTACTGACAATAATTAGTAGAACATAGCTAGATCAAAACACAAGTGTAGGGTGAAAAATATCTTTACTAACTTTTGACAATGGTTTTCAGAAGAGCTGAATAAAATATTGTCCAGCTCAATAAGCAGAACTCACAAACAATCAGCAGGCTAAAGAAACAAAATTTTAGAGTCATTGGTAGAAACAAAAGACAAGATATATAAAAAAAATTAATTGCATGAAACAAAAAATTAATTTCCACAACAGAAGATGAAATAAAGAAATAAGATTTTGAAAGTTTTATAATAAAATAATATAGATTTACATGCGGGGCGGATACGAGGCAGGTCTATGGGACGGGTATAGAAAAATCCGCCCCCAACCCGTTTTGGGGGGGGGGGGGGGGGGAAATAAAACTCATACCCCCCCTATTTATTTGCGGGGCGCGGGCATTACCCGTAAATTTCTGGGGGGGTCGGGGCTGGTATCTGCGGCTCGGAAAAAAATTGTCATCCCTAAAATTACCAACACAAGGGGTCATCTGCAAAAAAAAAAATGGTTTTATAAAGGAATTAAGTGCTATTTACCTTAAAAACAATCTATTTGTTATTTGTTGAAAATGAGTATATGACTGAAAAATGAAAATCTACCTTCCATTTTTTTTTCTTCTGCTTCAGCGGTTCGATCCTTCAACACCGCCACGAGGGAATGATTGTCCATCATGTAGTTGGAGGAGTGCTCGTGGTCCCTGGAACAAAAAATCTTCTCCGCTCCGGCGGTAACAGCCGCAGCAAAGATCATACGTGCGCGGGCATTTTCCGACGCACAGCAGGCACGAAAAGTAGGGTCCCACGAGCAAATTGTAGCAGCCCGCGCACCTCGGCACGTTCAACTTATTCACCATGTAATAAAGACATAAAACCTTCTTCGAAATCGAGGTATCCGTCTCCGTTCGTGTCGAGTTTTTCGAAGATGGCATCGGCCGCTAAGCACGCGCTCACGGACCTCTTGAACTCCGCGCCCTATCTTTCCGTGTTCGTTCACCACTTGGTCTCTCTCTCTCCAAACATGCATGGAAATAAATTTATTAAAAAACGACTTATAAAATCAACGGCTGAAATTAAAATCTATTCAGCAGGGTTACTTTCGTGCCATTTTCTTCTATTTTATGTCAATAAATAACGGAATCGAGTTTGTTCCCTTCACTGCCTTAACTGGCGGACTAACCGTAAATTGACGGAAATGACCAAATGTGTTGAATTAACGAAGTATGAAGAACTAAATGTATTTTTGTGAACATGAAGGACCAAATGTGAAATCAATATAAACTTAAGGGATAAAAACTGTATTTTTCACGTTATTTCATCTATATTAAAAGATTTATATAAAAATATTGATGCAACTCAATTATCATTTGTTGGGTAAACTATAAATAACCTTTGAGATATACCTAAATTATAAAAATCTTTTTTCTTATTTGTGAATTATAATTTTCTCCTCGCATTAGTCGGTTTTGGGCCTGTTAGAACTGACGGGCGGGTGAACCATTTGGTCGATCCGGCGGTTCAGGGGTCATGGGGAAGTAATTATATCATGCATTTTTGTTATTATTGAAGAAATTATAAATGCCTTTTCGCATAAAAAAAATCTTAATCTATTACGTTTTTTGTGTTAGGGTAAAATAATAATTTGCGTAAATAATTTGTAAGACCATATGGTATGGTTCACCAGTCGGTTCACTTTTTCAGGAAACGGAACCGGCCCATGGCCATGTGATCTATACATGGATGTAGGATTACGCTGATCCGCACCACATAATCTTGAGTGCTCTTCATCTTCGTTTTTTTATTGTTTCGTTGAACTGAGTTTTCAAACTGTTTGCAGTAATTCACAACTACAAAATACATGAATATAATATGAAATAATAATACCAAAATAAACACAGGCGAAACTAGAATATAGCATTTCAAAATTAAATACAAAAATACAACTTTAGTACACACTCTGCAAAGACAATTGATGATCACAAATACATGTACACAGTTAAATAAAGGGCCAAATAGCTAGCCTGCTGGTTTTCACTTTTCATGCACGCACATTTATTCTCTCCATGCAATTTCAAATTTTTTTTTTTTTTTTTTAATAATTAGCCTTATAATATGGCTTTACAGTTCACAACACACACGCAATGGCCGCACCCAAAGAGATTCGAACCCCTGTTGTTTTTAATCACCAAGTTCTTATCGTGGGAGAGCGAGACTCGAATAATACATCGTAAACATGCCTCAAAAGCTGGTTTAATCAAGGAAACATGTCTCAAAAACTCATCTTGAAGCAGGAAATCGAAATTCGAGAAACACACGTACTGCACTGTTCTTTTTATCTGCATGCCCATGCAAGTACGTGCTATATATCACAGTATTGTACAGGCACCAGATAAGCTCCCTGCATGGAGTGCTATTTCCAATGCAGTAAGTGCAGCCTTCCATTTGCGCTGATAATCATCAAAATAAATTTGTATGAGAGAGAGAGAGAGAGAGAGAGAGAGAGAGAGAGAGAGAGAGAGAGAGAGAGAGAGAGAGAGAGAGAGAGAGAGAGAGAGAGAGAGAGAGAGAGAGAGAGAGAGAGAGAGAGAGAGAGAGAGAGAGAGAGAGAGAGAGAGAGAGAGAGAGAGAGAGAGAGAGATGAAGTTAATTAATTAATTACTCACCCAATTATTATTAGATGCTGCGGGAACTATTGCAGTATTAGCGACCAAACTCGGAGGATCAACGGCGGGAACCTCAAAATGAGTCGTCAGAGACAAATAACTGTGATGCAATAGGGTATTCGAAGTAGAAGTACCAGGCCGTAGCTGCAGCAAAATTAATTTATTTAAGCAGTGATTAACATTGTCTTATGTCATTATTACTCCCTCCTTCCTTCAATAGTTGTCACTTTTGTTAGTTGCACACGTATTAATACACTCAATAAATATGCATAGATAATAAATCACTGATATGCCAATGCCACTAATTGAATTTTAACTAATTATATTTTAATTAATTATGAGTAAGAAATGGCAAAATTGAAAAAAAAAATTGCAATTAATGATTCATTGGAATAGTGAAATGACAAATAATTTGAAACATAAAAAATGGGAAAAGTGACAACTATTAAGAGAAGGAGGGAGTAATATTATTCCGATACTATAATTAATAACAATCCATATGTATTAATTTTATTATTTAGTTTGTCCATTTTCATGTATTAAACAGATTTGGTGGGCATTAAATAGTAGTCACTTGCAGCCTCAACAGTTGACAATTTACACATGTATGTAATATGATTCTTTTTTTTTTCTTTCTAAAATAATAAAATAAAAATTAAACAAATTTCATTAATTATTTATTATTACCCGTTGGTTCGTGTTTAGGCTTGTCGCCAATGCAAGATCGGAATCTCGTTTAGTTTCCAGCAACGTGTAGTTGTCCAAGAACTGAAACCGGCCATCATGTTCGTGTTTGCAGCTTTTAGCCTTATAACAAACGGGGCATAGATCGAACGGTGCTCCAGAAGAATCGTTAAAGCACTCGACGCAAGAGAAGAATATTCCCGGTATAAATTGGCCACAAAAGTCGCAAAACGGGCGTCTACTTTTGATGATGTAATAGAGCGACATCACTTCGGAGAAATCTAGGGTTCCGTTGGCATCCTGGTCCAGCTCATCAAAGAAGTAGCGATTGCGCATGTTCGAATAACGGCCTTCTTGAGCTCTCATGAAGGCTAAGAACTCGGAAAGATCCACCCTCCCGTCTCCGTCCGTATCCATTGATTTGAAGAAATCGTACGCCAATTGCTGCACTTCTGGAGATCCGGCTCGATAATGTGCTTTCGCCGTCTCTCGCAATTCGTCCATCTGATCTTTCTTCTGTTAATTAATGTGAAATTAACGTACAATCATCAAACATAGCAATAATTAAGGTCTCGTTTGATTTTCAAGATAAGATCATCCCACATATATAAAATTAAGTAGTCTTGTGAAAAATCAATTGTATTGTTGGATAACGGGAATTTCAATAAATAATTCCTCAATTAACCAAGATTGAGCCATTTTTTCTATATATAGTTGTGGGGCGACCTGGAAAGTTACTGGATCAACCAAACATCCAGCAAGGTCCAATTATTTACTTAATCATGAATAATTATACAATTTTCACACCTCAAGTTTGCACTGATTCTATATATTTAGTCTCCTCGTGTTCACAAAAGTCACATTTGGTCCCTCATGTTTCAAAAATTCAACATTTCAGTCTTTTCCGTCAATTTTCTGCTAGTACTAACGAAATCAAGGGTGTGCCCGTCATTGCCTTAACTGACAAAGTAAAAGTAAATTGACGGAAATACCAAAAATGTTAAATTATTGAAAAACGAGGGACTGAATGTGTTTTTTGTGAACGTGGGGACCAAATGTGAAATCAGTGCAAAGTTAAGGGATGGAAATTATAAATTTCCCTTACATTTGTGATCGTCAAGATATTATTAAAGACATGGAATAGTCTTACGTTCAAAGGTCAAATGTTCTACAAAATGCTAGCTTATAAGGGGTTTACTGCAAAATCTTTAACATAGAAAGCCTCTTTTAGCAATTTAATATAATACATGGGTACCAAATGCAATATATAAACACTCGTTTATAATTTTCAATTTTGCCCTTTTCAAATATAAGACATGTTTGGTTCGATCTATATGCAGACAAAATCATCATATCCATCAAAGACTACTTCAAAGACAAAAAAAAAAAAGTATATAATAAAATGGGAATTTACCATATTCTCCCCTTCAACAATAATAATCGTTTCTACGGCTGCCGGC